AAATATAATTAATTGGTGAAATAATTTTCTCCCCCAAAATCCGGTAATCAAAAGTATGTGATACTAATTTAATGACCTATTTCCGCACAAATAGTGTTTGGCTTAGCTCCGTTAGAATAACACTAAAATAAAAATGAAGTAAAAATTAAACCGAATGGGTTTCTAAAGCTTATATACTTAAAGTATACCAGCCAGTTTAAACTCGAGTCAAATAGAAAGTTCATACCAAAATGACGATAGGATATTTTGATACCAGGAATTTTATTATTTCACATGAATCAGTCCAATTTAAAATTTTTAGGGGAGATTTGCAAATTTTTTCGGCCTGTTTTCCGGCCACTTTGAAGCCAAATGAAGCCCTTTAGAGCAATAGTCCTTACTTATGCTCACGCTTTAGAGCCAAAATAATTCGCACTCATAAAAGAACTTTGAATAAATATATTAGCTATGCTCACGATAGATGCATTCGTTAATGTTGTCTAAACAAAAATGAAAATAGTTCATCCTATATGGTCAAAATTTTATACACAAATGAACGTGATCTGAATCCGACTTTTACATAGTTATCTATCGGATCCAGCCTTAATTGTAAGAATATTTACAACCTTTCTCAAGTAGGCATACATTGTTTGATTTTCCAGGGAACCGGTGGTCTTGCAGATATATTGGCCGATTGTATAGAAGAAACGAATATATTACTTGAACGATTTGCTGAGATGGAAAAACAAAGTGAGGCGGAAATCCCGGAGAATCTGAGAAGCATAACAAGTTCTAGGTAAATATTCAACAAAAGACCGTTTTATTTAAATTTGACTAACTTATAGAAAAAAACCCTTTACTGCTTCCGAAAGCTAGTCTTATGATGGATTAGCTTTGAAATCATGACTGAAGTTATGTTACCCAGATATGACTCTATAAATTATTGATAAATTTGTACTTGGAACTAATTTTCAAGGAGTTAAAGCAATATTTGCTCTTTGACTTTAGGATACGAGCAATCGCCATATTACATTGGGGTATGTTTAATGAAGAGGATATTGGAGTTGTAATGATACATGAAATATTAAAAAAGAAAGCTTTAATGGAAATCTACAATATTGATGAAGAGAATGATAAGGAGCTTGACTTTTACATCCTGTCAGCGTTGCTAAATCCAGGTGAGTTGTATTTTAAAAACATTTTTTGACTTAGATGGGTAGGCACTTAATCTTGAGTCAGTGCTATTTTATAAGACACTTTAAATTTATGCATTTAGGCAAATATTTTTGCATTTTAGCTGAACTATTCGAATAAACACTTCAACCCTATTAACTCATGGATTAGAGATTGAGTGTCTCCTACTAGTTCTTTTTGTGAGCGTTCCAGCTTCCATTACCCTAAAACTTGGATTATTTTACTAATAATACATTTTTTAAGATGGAAAAACGTTGTAGCATTGCGGAATGTATGCTACTAGAATAAATATAAAATTAAAAAATGTATGACTTGATATTTCTATTAATAAGAAATAAGATGTTAACTCAAGACTAAACCACCATCCAAAACTCCATGCTATATACATGGTACGTAGATGACTTCCCCACATAAGTAATTGCTTATCATTCGATTTAGTCCAAAAAAGACATGAACATTGTTAGGTCGAATAAGAATCTTTGCAAAAATGAAGTTCACATCGGCTCAGAACTCACCTTTTCAATGGTTGATATATCGCTTCATACAATAAATATTTTTTATGAGCATTTGCTGATTATCAAAGTATTTTTTTACTTTAAAGCTCTTCAAGAAGATGAAGATCCAGAGACCTTAAATCTTAATCAGCTTGCAATTGCTATTTCCTTAAACCGAAGTGATGCCGCAAAAGAAAAGGTGTTTATTGATGGAAAATCCTGGCAGGTTTGTGACTAGTTTTGCTTTAGTTACCAAATTGGGCATACACGAGCATGTTCACATACTTGTGCATACTTATGCTCTCTTGTATATAGTTTGTTTATTCTTATCGACATATATTGCCTTGAGATGCTCAGAAAGTAAACTAAAATGAGTATAAATAGCTCATGAATAGTCTCCTGCAATAAAATTATTGTGGTGAACTTTATTTCATGTAAAAAGTTTCCGAGAGGATCTTTTATCGAACCCAATGAAAGACGTCTGCTGATTTATGTTGCTTTGCACAACTTTTTATTACTATTAGGTTCAGGTTTATGCTGTCCACATGCTCTTTCAGTTCCTGTAAATACATGCTACTACATCTAGTAATGCTTTATTCCTTAAATTTTATACATACTGGAAACAACATAAAAAATAGTTATAGGGGGATGCCTTGTAATATGCTTGGGCCTAAATTATTAAAAAGAACGCCACTCAGCTCGGAAGATATGCGTCAAGTATGAAAGACATAAGCTCTTTTTTCTAACCTAAACCGAAGAAGGATGTTTCAAAGACTGCTATATTATGAACAACATAGCAAAATCAAACTACTGTAGAGAAAAGTAAATCCGCCAAAGACTTCTAATTTGAACGACCTATGTAATCCTTTATCAGGATTGCTATGTCTGTAAAAAACAAGATACCATAACAATTTAAATAATTATTTATTATTATATCCTCCTATACTTAAATTGTCCTAGTTCTCACTAATAATTTCTTATTTTATTAAAAGGACAATGAAATTGCTCCTTTTGTCACAGAAGTTTTACTTCGTGACAAGGTATCATTTATAAAATTATTTATAGAAAAAGGCTTTTTTATGGAGAATTACTTGACAATAGCCTTATTAGAAGAAATTTATTCGGAGTCAGTGAATTTTGATGTAAGTTATGCTTATCCAAATAATTTAAATATATAAACCATGCCTCAATTCAAAGTTGTTTAAACCGAAGTCCATTGCTTTTGATGTTGAATTATAAAGTTTGCTATATAAATCCTTCTCATTGGAATAATTATGCATAAATAAGACTCTTATTTATTTTTCTCTTATATTACCTGTGCCATCCACCGCCAGAGTTATGCAAAATTATTTTTTTAGTTAATAAAATTCAGGCATAATATAATTGTTTTAGACCTGGTGGTCAAGAAATAACTAGAGAATTAGAGAACGCTATTAATAATAGGAATCAAGTCCGTAAATATCTCAGCTTTGAGTACAAGATATTAACAATTCCACCTGGAGGGACATTAAAAAGGTCTCTTAAAAAAATATTTTTTTAATAACTCTTTAATAACTGCATCTCAAAAGTTCTGTTACATAGGTCAATACAATATTCTAATCCTTTATTTTCTATCACTTAAGGAAAAGAGGTCCAATCACTTACCAACAAGGATAATTCGTTTAACAAAAAAGGTAATTAATGAAAAGTTTTAATCTTATTTGCACAATTTTCAAGCTTGTGTCGTCCACGCTTGTCAGAGCGCGAAAATTAAAAAGATGGTTTGTAATATTTTTTAATTTTAATTAAACTATAGCTTAAAAGGCTAAGTTAGGACACTGTTATGAAACATGAATAAATATTGAGTAGCTCAGATAATAAAAATGACTAGTTTCAATAACAAATAAATAATTCCTCACATAATTTACACGAGAATAAAAACAAAGAAGATAATGTGCATGTAATTTTATGGCTAGAAAATTAACGTGACAAGAATTAGTTAATTTTCGATTTAGGTAGGTTTTCAAGTAGGTTTTTAAAAATACTAGTAAACCATATATGTATATATAGGATATATGAACTTATTTTGTTAAGGTTATGAAGGAATGGTAGTTGAATTTTTCCACAATACTATGAGCAGTCCTTACATTACCAATGAATTTCACATATT